ATTAGACATAAATTAGTTGTTAAAGGTTCTCCTATCATATTAACATAACAATTAAATCAAAAACATTGTTAAATAAATAATTTTTTACCCAATTTTTTATTTTTAATTAACTATACTTTTTTGTTTATGTTTAAAAGTAATACGACAAATTCATCTCTGTTATTTTATTTAGTCACAAACCTTTATTCTATTACTGTTGTTCATTGTAACTAAAATACACTTCTTTCAACGAAAATTGTACCTTTTTGATAAAAAAATAAACCAGAATAACGAATTTGTAATTTTGGGTTTTTATTTAATGAACATTAAATCCTTTTATCTTACAATAATATCTTTAAAACAAAACTTATTAATTTAGACTATTAAATTTCTTATTTTTTGAATAAAATTTAATAGAATTATCATTTCTAATAAAAAACCATTTGACTCTTATAAACAAAACCAATTAGAATTAACAACCTAATTTGATGTAAATTTAAATGAGAAGTTTTATATTAAATAAGTTAATAAATAAATCAATAATATTATCAAAATTTAAACATTTAAATTTTATGAATATTAAAATTCATAATTTATTTAAACTAATATCTTTTTACATTATTACTTTAATCGTTTCTTAGGAATTTGATTTTGATTTTTCATAATGATATTCTATTAAATTATAACGTATTTTCATTTAATACATTTTATTTAACAATATAAAGTCATTAACATTAATTAAAATTAAAATTTAGTTAATAACAAAACAAATTAGACTCTAAATATTTAAATTGCAAGAGGGATTTTAGTTAATACACATTTACTTGGAATACTTCCATCTGTTAAAACTGTTTTAGGAAGTGGTAATGATTTGAGAAATTCTTCTTTAGTAAATACATGTTTTCCTTGAACATCTTCTTTCTTTCCTATAAGACAAATATCCGCAAGTTCTGGTTGTTGTTCAACTTCTATTTGACCAAACCTTACTAAAGTTTCCCATATTTCCATTCCTGTTTGATCTCTAGTGAATAGTTCAGTAGCAAATACTTTTTTTCCTTTGAATAAATTAAATTTTTGAAATCCATATTTAAATTCATCTTTTTTCATTCCATTAATAATCCAATTCTTTGAAACAACCCATTTTCCTTCAATAAGAGCTTTAATACTTGTCATAGTAAGTTTTGAAGATACAACGACATGAGTAACTTTATTAGAATAATTTACAGATATTTCAAATCCTTTTTTCATAACTTCTTCACTTAAAGATTCTCTTGTTTCTTTTGATATTCCAGAGAGATGAATAATAACTTTTGGACTATTTAAAAAATCTGGTTGTTTAAATAAAGCCAATCTCACTGGTGATGTCTTTAGTTCATTCTCTGATAATATAAATTCTTCTTTATTATTTGTTTCTTCTTCTTTAATTGGTTCATTTATTGAAATTGTATCAATATAACTTGTTTCAATTACACTTTTTCTTTCATTTATTTGACAATTTACTTTTTCAATTGATTTTTTCATTTCTTCAAATTTATAATTCATATCATCAAGTTTCTTATTATATTCTTCCATATATCTTTGTGTAGTAATTTCATTTTGTGCTGTTTCTAATTGTTTAAGAAGAATAGATATTTGTTGTCTTGCCATTACTATTTCATTAACAATATTATCTCGTTCTTTTTGAAAAATATCAATTTGTTGGTCTCGATGTTTTATTTGGGTTCTAAGATCATCTAATTGATTTGTATGTGTTTGTTCTAAAAGATATATTTGTTGTCTTAATTGTCTAATAAGAGCTTCATTTTCTTCTTTTTCTCTTTTAAGCAATACATTTTCTTCTTTTATTTGATGTACATTTTCTTCTTTTTTTTCGACGACTTCATGTTCTTTCTTTACTTCATCTAATTTATCAATTGTCTGTTGAAGAACATTTCTTAACTCATCATTCTCTTTTGTTAAAATACTTATTTTATCCATTAGTCCTTGAAGAACAGGTGTCATCTGTTGCATATTATCATCCATTTCTTTATTTGCTTGAACTAATGCATCAATAAATGCCTGAGTTGATTGGAATGAATTTCTTTCCATTTCATTTTAACAGTTTTTTGTTTCTTTTTTATTTTATTTTTTTTTATTTATTTTAAGAATAATTCCTCATTTTTTTTTTGAATAAATGTTTTATGAAACAAAGAATAAAATATTAATTATAAACTATATATTAAAATTATAATTCTTTATTTGAATTTTAAATTGAATTAATTTATTTTTGTTAAAACAAGAGCAACTCTGCAAGGAATATAAATTTGAATTTGATTTGGTAATCCATCACATTCAATTGGTTGAGAGACATATTCTTGAGAAGTAATTCTATCATATCCTCCAAATTCTGATGAATCAGAATTTAATATGATTTTATATGTTCCTGGTTCTTTTACTCCAATTCCATATCCTGTAAAACTCTTTTCATAATGGAAATTAAAAATTCCAATAACTTCACCTCTTTGGAAAGCTAAAACATGATCACCTTCATTATGTTTTGAAATATAAGCATTTGGTTTATTTAACCATGGATAATGTTCTTCTAAATGAAGCATTTCTCTCTCAAAAGCCAATAAAAATTTATATCTTAACAAATGGTCTTCAACCAAATTATATTGTCTTCTACAATAATGGAATGAATCGCCATTTCCTTCTCTTGGGAAATCAAGCCATTCGGGATGTCCAAATTCATTTCCCATAAATGTCAAATATCCTTCTCCTCCTAACATACATGTTACTAATCGAATCATTTTATGTAAAGCAATTCCTCTATCAATAACTAATGATGGTTGCCATAAACATGACATTCCAGTGTACATTTCTTTATCCATTAACCAAAATGAAATAGTTTTATCTCCAACCAATGCTTGATCATGACACTCTGCATAAGCAATAGCTTTTTCTTTCCATCTTCTATTATTTAATACAAACCCAATATGGTTTACATTCCAATCTTCATCTTTCTTTGTTTTTAAATATTCTATCCAAAGATCTGGACATGACATAGCAAGTCTATAATCAAATCCAATTCCTCCATCCTCAAATGTTCTACATAATCCTGCATATCCTGATACATCTTCTGCTATAGTAACACAATTCATACTTTTTCTATGAACAAGAATATTAACTAATGACAAATAAGTTAATGCATCTTCATTTGCATTTGGACCAAAATAATGTGCATAATCAAAAGTATGTGCTCCAACACCATGATGAGTATAAATCATAGAAGTTACTCCATCAAATCTAAATCCATCAAATCCAAATTCTTCTGCATAATACTTAACATTAGACAATAAAAATCTTAATGTTTCATAATTGTTGTAATTAAATAATCTTGATCCCCATAATGGATGTTTTCCTTGATCTCCTGGAAGTAAATAATGTCCATCACTTCCATCAAACATATTAATTCCATCAACTACATTTGCAGAAGTATGTGAATGAACAATATCTAATAATACAATAATTCCTTCTTTATGACATTCATCAATTAAATGTTTTAATGCATCAGGTGTTCCAAATCGTGATGATGTTGCAAAGAAATTTGTAACTTGATATCCAAAAGATGCATAGTATGGATGTTCCATAATAGCCATTAATTGAATAGCATTATATCCAACTTTTTTACAATATGGAACAATTCTTTCTCTAAATTCATCATAACTTGCTATTTTCTTTTCTGGTGTACAAATTCCAACATGACTCTCATATATTTTTAATGCACTTGGAATTTTTGGTTTTGGTGATGTAGGAGTATATGGATGTTCTGGATTATAAACAACAGCTTCCATTGATGATGTTTTAGGATTAAGAACACAATATCTATGATATGTAGGAATTCTGTCTAATCGTTCTCCAGAATATGTGATACCAAATACTTTTATTTTACTTAAATGTTTAATTTTAGATTCTCCATTTTCATCTGGAATAAACCCATTGTGTGTTCCAAATTCATCACGAGTTAATTTAATAGCTGTGGCTCTATCCCAATTATTAAAATCTCCAAATAAATACATTTCCTTAAAATTAGGTGCCCATTCTCTAATACTCCATCCTTCTACTTCTTTTCCATTTTCTTTTTGTATTGTTCTATTTAATCCATATCGTTTATATGAATTAGCAAATTCTTCTAATGATCCTTCATTATGTTCTATTTTTGAAAGAACATCAAGTGTTTTCTTTTGTCTTCCATAAATTGTTGCAGCAAATGGTTCAAGATATGGATCATCTACAATCATTTGTAATTTTGTTGACATCTTTAAATTATTTATGTTTATTATTTTCTAGATTTAATTAAATAGTTAGTGTCTATTCATATCCTTTTCTTTTTTCTTTTTTTTAAGTTATATCCTACTGTAATCATTCGTTAATCTGCGGTTCTTATCCTAAACATTAATTACTCTCTTTGACCGTTTAATAAAATCTTTTGAAACTAAAGGCAGTTTACTCTTTGGTTAAAGAACTTTATCTTTTTACAAAAAAATTCACATTTTATTTTTCCTTTATTAACCAAATATTTGTTAGTATTTCTACAAATTACTTACGTGCCTCTCTTTTCAAAAAATTGACATAGTGAAATTAAAAATCACAAATCAAAGAAAACGAAAATTCATTGCGAATTTTCATAGAACTATAAAAACTGAACTAATAATATATAATATTAATTTACTATTTTTTATTAAAAATAAAAAAGTTTGATGTTTCTCTTCATTTATAGTTCTTTTTAATATATTTTTTAATCACAAATCAAATCAATCAATTAATAACCTCTTTCAAATAAGTAGTTAGCAGCAACTTCTTTATTTTTATTGCTTACAATATATGCCTCAGTTGCCACAGAACGTGAAAAACCTAATTCCATTAAATCAGTAATATTCTTTTGATCTTCTGAACTTAAATTTTCTTTTTTTGGTAAATTAGATTTTTGTTGATCACTTTTTGGTGCTTTTGGAGGTTTTGAATCAGTTGTTGAGAGTTGACCTTCTTCACTCATTTCATCTTCAGAGTTTAAAGACATTGATCCTTCTTCACTCATTTGATTATTTACATCTAATAGTTGGTCAACTTCTTCTCTACTTAATGCACCTGATTGAATAAGTTGTTCTATTTCTTCTGGTGAAAGATTATCTCCAAAAACTCCTAACCCATCATCATCTATATCTTCTCCTATTTGAAGGTTTTGAAGTACATAATTCATTGCTAGTTCTGGATCTTCTCTCATTTGTTCTGCCAATTCTGGATCTTCTTCTTCAACTTCATCAATAATTTCATCTAATTCTTCTGGAGTAATTTGAATTTCAATTGGAGGTTCTTGGACCATTTCATTTTGAGTTTCTTCTGTTGGTTGAAACACATCAAAATTTTCAAGTGGATTTCCTTTTAATTCTGAAAGAGCTTTTTCTTTATCATTATTAGATTTTTTAAGAGCATCCCTAATATGTTCTTCATCATATCCTTGATTTTTTAATTCTATAACCAAATTTTCATCAATAACAATATCGCTTTCTTTTTTCGTTGGTACTTCTGGATTAACTAATGGTTTCTTTTCATTTAGAATAGGTTTATGGATTTTCTTTTCATCATTAGAAGATTCAGTAATATTAGCTTTTGATGGCTTTTTCATAATTATCATCACAACGTGTTCTCCTTCAGCATACCCAATTTTGTCTAATGTCTCATCATTATTTTTTAACATTTTTGATTTAAAACAGAGGGCAATTGAAGAAATTTCTATTCCTTCTTGTTTTGAAATTAATTCTTTTAAATAGCCAATAGTGGACGTTGGTTCAACATCAAATGTGAATATTTTCTTTGAGATAGTTGTCACAGTTATTTTCATAAATTAATTAATGAACTTTGTTTCTTTTTCTTCTTTTTAGTTTTTGGATTGATTATTTATTTATAGAATAGGGTTCATTAAAATACACATTTTTTATTGTTAGTTTCAGTAATTTCTCCTAAGATTTTAACAAAACTAAAGACTCATCAAAATTAAAAAAAATGAGATATAAAACATAAAAAAACATAAAAAACAAATCAAAAAAAAACAAATTAAATTTAAATGACTTGGTTGCTTCATGAAACAGTTGTCAATCCACAAGGAGTTGAACATTCTATAATTGCTAAATTTACTGGTAAATATGAACAATTAATCACAAGTATTCGTAATCAATTTGTGTGTTATGATATTACTCCTCAAGGACTTCAAGTTCGTTGTAAAGAAGTTACTGAAGCAAATATTATTCAAATAGGAAATGTAGAAGTGAACCATGTAATGATGCTAGTTTTATTATTTAAAGAAGCTAAAGTGTCAGTACTAAGATATGATGAAACAAATAATAAATTTGTTATTCATTCTTTACATTGTTTTGAACTTCCTCTTAAAAGAATGCAAGAAGGATTAACGCCAACAACATATACTGATCCAAGGCTCTTAATTGATAAACGAGGGAGATGTATTAGTTTAATTTGTTATGATAGATTAATGTGGGTTATTCCATTAGGACTTGAGTTTGTTGTATTATTTTTTTTTGAGAATAAAATTATAAATTATAATAAAAGACATTAATAATTATTAGTAAAACATCATATTCTATTAACTTAGAGAAATTTGGGATTAATAGAATTATTGACTGTATTGTTTTAGATGGGTATGATTTACCGTCAGTAGCTTTTCTTCATATGAAAATACCAACATGGGAAGGGTTTGTTAATAGTGTTATTAATTAAAAGAAGGGTTTGTTAATAGTTTTATTAATTAAATAGACGAATAGTAAATACAGGAGAAACAACTAATGAGATTATTATATTATCATTAGAACCAGATGTCATTCATGAAAGGCAAGATATTGTTGCAACAATATCATATCAATTTTCATATGTTCCTTATAATGCATTACAAATTGTAGATTGTTATCCAACAAATGGACTTCTTATATTAACAGTAAATAGTATTATTTATTTATCAACAACATCGTTTGAGTCATTCATTCTTCCTTTTGGAAAGTTTTTTGTAATACCAAAAAATATAAATGGACCATTATCTTCATTCCAAATTCTTCAAATGCAAACAAAAATTATGAACTCAGTTAAATCAATATTTAAATTAACAAATCATCTTTATATTATATTTTCTATGAATGGAGAAAGTTATTATGTTCATTTACTTTCTATTGCAAATAGAATTTGTGATGTAATTATTACTAATTCTCCATATAAATATCATCCAACTACTTTTACTATTTCTTCAAATCATTTATTTATTGGAAGTACAGTTCATGATAGTTATATTTATAATTATGAAATTGTTGAATACGGAAAAGGTAAACAACATGAAATATCTCAACATATTAACCAAGAAATTCGTTCAAAAAATTTATTATTTAGACATAATGAAATGGAAGAAGAATATCCTTTCGATGAACCACAACCAGTTTCTATTCCACAAGAATTAACAGTTGAATTCCCACAATTAGATTATATTGTTTCTATTTGTAATGTACATGAATATACTTTATTAGAAGAAGAAAATAATATGATTTCTATTGTTTTATGTTGTGGGATACAACCATTTAGTAAAATTGTTAAATTATCAAGAAGTATTCAACCTGAAAATATTATGGGAGTTAAAGAATCAGAATGTTTTTATAAAAATGATAATATTGAAGTAAATAAAAATGGAATATTTTTAAATTCAATAAATATTTGTTCTACCGAAATTCTTGGAAGTATTAAAAGAGTTAAAAAAGAAGATGATTATTTAATTATTGAACAAAGTGATTCTAAATGGTGTGTTTTTGATATTAATAAAAAAGAAATTATAATAAAAGAAGAAGGTATTAATGAATTATCTTTTCTTCCTTCTTCTAATGAAATGGAAGAAGAAGGAGAAGGAAATAATTTTATTAAATTAAAAGATGGAAAAGTATATAAAGGAGAAATGGTGTTAGAAGGAATTGGAGAAAGAATTAGTCAATGGGTAAAAGAAGAAACAAAAAAAGGAAAAGAAGTAGTGGATATTGAGTGTGTATCAATTATAGAAGGAAAAATTGATTTAATAATAATAACAAAAGAAGGAATTTTATGTTATTATAGATCAATGAATGATAAAGGGAAATTTGAAAGATTAAAAGTTGAAGCACCTCAAACATTTAATTGTAGTATTAAACCACATATTAATAGGATAGAAATAAATAATAAAAAGCATTATTTAATTAATGGAAATTGTTCATATTTTATTGAATATAATTATTATTATCCAATAGTTATTCCATTTAGTATTAAAGTAATAAAAGAAGTAATAGTTTTAAATAATTTTACTTGCTATTTAGACACAGATGATGGTAAATTAATTGTTAAATTAAATAAACAAAATATTGATAAATATCCACTTCCATTTACTAGAATTGATATTCAAGGAACACCACATCATTTAGTATCATATAAAAATAAATTATTTGTTACTGTATCATTTACTACTGTATTAGATACACCTGATTGTCCACCTCAATTACCTCATTCAAGTAATAATCAACAAGAAGAACCACCAGTATTAGAAGCACAACCATTAAATTCAGATGTATTATTAGAACGTTATAGAATAATAAATTTAACAACCAATGATTATTATGAATTTAAAAAAGGTCAATTCATTTGTACAGCAAAATTATTAAAATTTAAAGTTGGAAAACAACTTAAAAATTATTTAGTTGTTGGAGTTAATAAACAAACAACAGAAGATAATCCTGTTAAAGGAAAAACATATATTTTTAATATAGAAAATCAAATTCAATTAATTAATAAAATTGGAGATGGAAAAAAGTCAGTTCATGCCGTTAATGAAATAGGTGGATTTCTTGCCGTAGCATCAGGAAATGAATTAGAATTAATTGAACGTGTAGATGAAACAAGATGGATAAAGAAATGTTTTAGTGATATTTCTATATTAATTAATTCAATTGAATATCTTCCATTAAAGGTAATGGAAAGAGGAAATGAAAAAGAATGTTATTTAATATTATTAAGTGATTTTTATAGATCAGTAGTATTATTATTATTTAAACCATATGACTATACTGTTATACCCCTTGGTAAAGATGCAAGAAATATTCATTGCATTGATTCAACTTTTATAATAACAAAAGATTATTTCTCAGTACTTGAATTTGATTCTGAACAAAATTTAAGTTTATTAAATTATAGTTCAGCTGCAACAGAACAATTGTCAATATTTGAAATTGATGCTACATTTAATCTTGGAATGAATTTATTAAAATTTACAAGACTATGGAATGGAAAAGGTTATATTTATATGTATGTAACTGTTGAAGGAAGTGTTGGTTATATTTCAGTTGTTGAAGAAAAAATATATCAAGTATTAAGACAAATTAATATAAAAATGAATAGAGAACCATGGCATTTTGCAGGAACAAATGCAGAAGAGTATAGATTTGAAAAAGGATATGGAATGGGATTTGGAACAAGAAAGCATGTATTTTTAGATGGAGATATGTTAAAACAATTTAGATTATTAAATGAAGAACAACAAAAAAGAGTCTGTTTAAGAAATACATCAATTAATGATGTATTTAAATTACTTTCAACAGGACTACAATACAATACATTTTTACAATATAATAATTGAATATTATTGAATTATTATTTAATTAAATTAATTTACTTTTAAATTCTTAAAAAAGAATTTAAATTAATTTTTTTTTAATTGAATTTAAAGAGATTTAAATTCAATTTCAATATCTTCTAATATTGATTTTAGATTATTTAAACCAAAGAGAAAACCATCTTCAACAGTACATTCTTCCTCAGTTAAAATCCAATTATGAGCAAAGTCAATCATTTTACAATTATATTTTTTATCTTCTAATGTTGTTGTACTGTCATAAACAAATAATACAGAACTACTAAACATTTTATATTCTCTTTTTTTCATTACTTCAATCATTTTATCAAGTTGTGAAATAAAATATGGAACAAGTTCTTTTCTATATTTCTTTCCATCATTAAAAAATAACTTAATATATTCTTTTAATGAGTCCCTTGTATTTACTTCATGTGTACATAAATATCGTGAATATAATATCGGTTTTTCTTCTCCTACATTTCTTTCCATTCCACTAAACCTAACACCAAGTGAAGTAGTTGTAGATGTTGAGTCAACAACTAATCTTTTTTTCATTTTACTTGATGCTGTTTCTGGGTCCCATGTTTGTGTTCCAATTTTTAAATCAAGTACAAATGGTCGTTTGTATTGATACATTAAATTTTCCATTCTAATAAATTCAAGTTCTCCAAATCCAAATTCATGTAATTCAACTCCATAAAATTTTGGTATAATTCCTGTCCCCGTCCATTCTTTATCATCTTTAATATGTAAATAAAAATCTCGTTCTCTATGAGACAAACATGGCTTTAAAAGATATTTTCCATCTGGATGAAGTTGTTGTGGTCCTCCATGACCTCCAGCTTGAACCCATTGGGACTTCTTTGTACTCATGTGTTCTCTTTTTATTTTTGTGTTCATCTTTTTATTTTTTTGGAATAGTATTAATTATAATATTATTATTATTTTTATCTACTTTTTTATTATTTTTATAGTTCTATCATTATATTTTGGAAAAATATTAGGGTTGTTATTAACTTCTCTTATTTTTTTCATAAAAATTATAATATTTGTCTTTTTTATGCAACTTTTCTTATCTTTCTTCTTTTACTCTTTTTTTTAACTTATTTTTACTTCATTAATACTTCTATCTGGTTTTTTAATTTGGAATTAAAAGAAATGGAGTTTTAAGAATCATTACAAAAAATTAAACAAAACAA